ACAAAAAATAGCCAATCAGATTTGAGTATAAATCCCAAAATTTGGTGCTTTTAAAAAAATATTGGATGTTTCTTGCTGTCCGGTATTGTATAAACAAACTTATGTGATGATATTATAAATAAATCTTAGTGAAGCCTAATGCATCTATTCTTCAACTATTTTACCTGCTTGTAAAAAAATTCCTGTTCAACTTCCTGCACGTGATGTTCGCTTTGTTAATTCATTGCCTTCAAAATAGGATGTTACAAAAATACCTTGTTAGTTTAATTTACTTAAAGCAAACAGAGATGGGTTTACTTGTGAATCATTTCATTGATGTATAATAAAATACCTGGCACCGTGGTTATTATTAAGTCAATAGCACGAATGAAATACTTGGTGGATATCACCCGTTAATCCAGTCATCAAATCACAGCCAAACAACATCTGATAGTTTTTTTTTTTTTTATTAAAAACCTTAAGTTTACCTGATTTTGTTGTTAGTAGGGTTATCATAAAAATAATGTAATTGGGCTTTTTTCTTGTTATTGACCAGTTTTTGGCAATTATTTCTTTATGAGAAATGATGATAAAAAGTTATGAGGTTATGGACATAATTCAGAATATTATGAAAAATGGCTTGGGAATGATATTGTGGATTTTTTAATTGATGAATTTGAAGTATTTCAAGTCTTGAAAATCTGATTTTAAATTTAGACTTGTAGTTATGAATTCAGAGAATCTTCAAATACATTTAGGACAATATAGGTTCGTATTTATAGAGTAATTATTGTCAGGAATGATGCTGAAATTTGACTTAGATGTTTTTTTCAGCTTTTTTTTTTATAATTAGATTAGAATTTAGGGTTAGTGTTTATAATAACAGAGTATATGTAGATTTTAGTAGGGTTTATATTTTCAAATTAAGGTCTCAAATTTCAGCATCATCCCGACAATTATAAACGCTATTAAAAACTTATAATGATGAAATTATTAACCAAAAATAAAGTATTTGAATTATAATTTGGTATAATATTTAAAGATTTATAATTTATATTTAGTTTAATTAAAAACTTTATATTATAAAATAATTGGTAACGGTATATTATCACTGGCCTGCTATATCTACTATTAGTTCATTATAACTGAACAATTTTTAGATTTTATGATAAAAATAACCCTTGTTATTATTTTTCATGTTCCTACTGAATTGATTGAAAACTTCTATATTTATTAATCGTCACTAAATATTTACATATTTTTTTGCTAAAATAACTCAAATAAAATTAATTTTAATGGCCTAGCTAGAAGTTTTTTAAAAAAAAAATGGTTTCAGAATAAAATTAATCTTGCTTTAAATGTTCACAAAGAATTTATAACTGCTAAAAATAATAATTGTTGAAAACATAAAAATTAGGAATAATTAAAGCAATCAAGCAAATTTTCTAAAATGAAAATGTTGGTAAATTTTCTCTTTAAAAAATTTACTATACAAGTTTATTCAAATAATGCAGTTATTCAGATATACAAATAATGATTTTATTAGGTGATTGACGCAATAATTTTTTTGCAGAAAACTAAGGAGTAGTGTTCCAATCCTAGGGTAACATTTTGTTTTTTATCCGATCTGATTAAATTTTTTAAAATCGGATAATGCAATAAAATTATTTGGTTTTATTCGAATATCCTTAAGGAATCCGATGTTATCTGTAATTATTATTATACTATATAATTAAAATATACAGTATTTATATCGATATACTTACAATAAAACAATCATAAAATAGAAGCTGCAAATTTATATTTATTAATTAACAAATGATATTCTTAGAGCAGTATTATAGTATTTTACAACTATAAAGCATAATAAATCTAGTACTACTAGTTTAATTGCAAATATAATTTGAAGTTTAAAAAATAACTATATATCTAAAGGAGCATGAATGCTATCCAAATATTTATAGCTTTTTTTTAAAAACATTATTCTTTTAAAAAGATTAGGAGACATTCGTATTCTTTTTATAGTTAAAAGATTACCAGCATCAGAAAATAATCTTTCAGATGCTGTAGAACAGCATAAACTGCTAAATATTTTTTAGCAAGCCTACTTAGAATTGGAAATTTTTCACGTCTTTCATACCACCAATTAAAAGCATCACTTTCAAAATCAATTTCTTCCAATTTTAAATATTCGCTGACTTCATTAAATACTGCAATTTGGAGTTTTTTAAGATTGGCAAGAATTTTAAGTTGTTTTGTTTTTTGAATTACAGTCTTTTGTTGAAAATTTGAATTTAATAAAAATGATGATGCATCATTTAA